ATTATAGATTTGTCGTATGGGATCAAGATGTAAGGACGAGTGATTTTATTGCATCATATTGTATCCCAATAGCCAGTTTACAACAAGGTAACGCTCCAAAAGATTATTTTATCATGGATTCATTTAATGCATAATCTTATTTTATTTTATTTTATTTACTAAAAATAGGTTATCGCCATATTCCCCTTAACGATTTAAATGGTGATCAATACCCATTCACTACCTTGTTCATTTATTCCTCACTTTCGGGATGAGACATTCTTTTCCTATACTTTAATTTATTAATACTATATATACTGTATATATATATATATACATTATTATATTATATGTAGAAAGTTTCTCTTATTTTTATTTTTATTTTTTTTTAATCTTTCATTTTTTTAAAAAGTTTTTATTGAATAATTTTCAAAAAGAAAAAAAGGAAAAAAAAAATAATCTTATATATATTTCTTGTAATTAAATCATTAGAATTAGCATTTAGTGAAAGCTTTATATTTAATAAAGATTTATTTCATTGAAATGTTTTATACATAATTTTATTTTTTATAATTGTATTATCTTTCAGGTTGTTACAATTTACAAGTTTTAAAAGTCGGTACTAATAAATTTTAGCATCATACAGATGCAATACTACGCTTACTCTTATAATCTTTGATAGCAGATTTAATAGCATCTTCCGCAAGCACTAAAAAAATAAATTTTAATTAATATACCAGATTCATAGAAAAGTGAACGTATAATTAAAACTATCAAACTTACTTGAACAATGAAGTTTAACAGGTGGTAAACATAATTCTTTTGCAATTTCAGTATTTCTTATTCTTCCAGCTTCATCCAAAGACATCCCTCGTACTCGTTCCGTCATGTAACTTGAAGAAGCAATTGCAGAACCACACCCGAACGTCTTGAATTTTACGTCAACAATTTTACCAGATTGTTCATCAACTCGAATTTGAAGTTTCATAACATCACCGCAAGCTGGTGCCCCAACAAGCCCAGTTCCTACGTCGGGGTCCGTTTTAGGTAATGCTCCAACATTACGAGGACGTTCATAATGATCAATTACCTATATAATTAAATAAAATAAGTTCTATTTAATTTCTCAAAGGACAAGAGCAAATTTTGTCAAAGCCTGTTAAACTGACCTTTTCATGGTATGACCGTATAAGATTAAAGGCTATAGGACGACGAACGCTTGAACTAGCAGTCGTATTAATTTGAGAAATTAAATTAACGTTTCGTCTTAAGATTGAGCGCAACATGTTCTTTTTTTAATAAATTTGAAGGAAAAAAAAAAAAAAATAAACAGGGAAGTAAGAAAAAAGAGGATATTTTTATTTTGTTATTTGGGAGGTGAAATTTTCCAGATATTTATAGATCCCTAAATAAAAAAAAAAAGCCTTATCAGATTAATGAATTACTAATACACAAAAAATCTGATATGCTTGAAATGGTTTATCTATTTTATCAGATTAACGTTATAAGTTTTATCTAGTTTACTAGTTGTCACAAAACTAAACCACAATTGTTAAAACAAATGAATTCAAAAAAAATACAAGCCGATCTGATAACAATTTTTATAAATTTTTTTTTGGTTCGGCAAACATCAATGTTACACGAATATATATATTATGACTAATTAGAAATGTAACAAGAGCGATTTACATGAATCATATTTCAAAAATTTTAATTCGTTATGGCTAGCTTTATGATGACATTTAAAA